TTGTGAATATATTGTTCTTGACTGCACAATGAACCTATTTGCTTTTATGTTTTTCTTCACTATGTGAATATTTACCCTGCAAAAAAATTATAACAGTTTCTTTCTGTTTTCACAGATCGTGACCCTTTTTTACATTCAGTCCAATAATGAGCACAGCTGTATAGGTCTCATGATCTTTGGTTCTTTGTCACTTGAACAACTTAAAATGATGACTGACTCCAAACATGATTATTTGAGAATGAAGTGGCCTGATAAAACACACAGGACAAAATTGAAACTACTCATTTCCAAGTTCCAGATACTCAGTAAAATGCTGGCAAAATGCTACATGTTTTACAGAACAATTTAAAACCAGAGAGACTTTATTAATCCCAGAGGGAATCTTCACAAAGATAAACACGTTCTAAAGACATATAACCTGATCACAGGTCTTTCTTTAAACCACAAGCTTTGTTCAGCCGATCATACACACATTTATACAAGCACTTTTCTAAACCATTCACGCACAAACTCACACCCCGATAGATGCATTAGAGGCAGGCTCAGAATAAGGTTCTTTCATAATTGTAAACGACAGTCATGGTCGCTGCAAATCATTTCAGCAAGTATTTTATTGCATCTGCCACAGAATTATGAGGTGAATCTTTGTGGTTTTGATATGATAGTAAAGGTTTGTTAAAATATTTACTAACTGTAGCCACAAGTCACATGTAAAAGTACATTTATAGTAGCAAAGTGGGTAACTAAAAAAATGATTAGATCACAAACAAAGTGAGAAGCAAATGACAGTTTAGCGTTTGACTGTCTGTCTCTTCAACATACAACGATATTTCTTTACTACCTATCATCTAAATTATAAATGCATCTGTGTGAATATTTCCTTATTTATTCAAAAAAAGCAGTTGTGCCATAAAACTGATAAACATCCTTGTAAATGTTTATCATATAACACAAGATAAATATTTAGGTTTTATTTTAGAAAAGAAATCACATTAAAAAGATGGGTTAACGTACACAAATTCAGTGACTGTTACAACATTAAAACCAATCAAATCCCTTTATATTTAAATTTCCAAATCCCTTTGTGATACCATGACATTTTCATCCTTGTGGTATTCTTGGTAAATAAAATATTTTAAGTTTGGAGAACTCACTTCTCTAATATTATACAGTGGCTTGCAAAAGTATTCACCCCCTTGAACTTTCCCACATTTTGTCA